GAATTCGAGAACTTTTATTTAATTATTTGAATGTGTAATTGATGTGGATATACATAATTGTAGATGATTGAAAGTAGGCAGAATTTTGATTCTGTCAAGATATATGATAGGGAAAAAGGAATAGGTAGGCAATTGGAATTTCAATGTGTTGATTTATTTCATGATCAAAAAAATGTGTTGATTTATTTCATCAATCTGTCAAATTAAATGGCAAGAATAAGAGTAGAAGTTTCTTATTTCTAAAATAGGAATAACTAACACTCACTCTTCTTTTTTTTTTTTGTCATTTTAACCTTGTCATCATATTTTAATAAGATATTTTTTATTTACAATACGGTGTTGCTATGTGACTAAGATGTCACGAATGCATAGTCTTGAGTTCCCTTCGGTGATGGGATCCTTACCCAGACTGCAAGTCCCTCCTCCGCCTTACTAGGACGTTAGTGTGCATTGGGCTGACCTTTTTTATAACAAAAAAGGGCAACCTTGTGCACAAAGGCATCCCCCAAAATGAGGGTTCGGGGAATTGTCCCACCACATACAAGGGTGTATAACGGGCAAACCTTCTCCTATCAAAATTTTGACAAGAGGCCACTCCCAAAACTTGGATCTGTTATCTCTCGGTCATATAGTAACACCTTAACTGGTAAGCCACGACGCCCCTTCTTTATTACAATACAAACATAAAAACAGAACTTTATATCAAATTAGGCTCAATACAAATTTAAAACATCTTTTCACGTTTAAGTTTCGTCTATTTTTGCCGCAATGTCACACAATGTCGTAGGTAGAGTGATATATTGAGATGACCCAGGACTTAAAACAAAATGTGTCATATTTGCAGGAATTAAAAACATATTTGCAGAGACTACAAAGAATATTTTTAAAATTTATTACACACGGTTTTGCCTTAATAATTAAATTAAAGTTGAAATTTATGGTGAGTTGGGATCTAGGTTAGCCCCGGGTCACACCACTAGTATCAGGCCACGCGCTTTTTAAAACACTTGTCCAAGCGATCCATTAGATTTCCAATAGAGTGCGTCGTGAGTAGGGCTGGGTCCGAAAAACCGAAAACCGAAAACCGAATCAAATCATACCAAATCGTAGCCAAATAAAACCGAACCGCTAACAAACCGAAACCGAATGTAAAAAACCGAACCGAACCGTAGTTGTTTGGTTCGGTTTTGGTTTTTACCCTTCAAAACCAAACCGAACCGAACAAACCGAACTAGTTAAAATATACGGAGTAAAATTTATTTGTCCAGTGTTAAGCATTAATCCTAACTAATCCTAATATCATTAATTGTTTTTGGTTTTCTTGTGTTAGAGAAATAATGTTTGTTATGTTTAGTTTAGTTTGTGAATTCATTTACACATTCATTGCACGTAATAATGTAGCTATACTGATAATATGTTTTTACTTGTTATTAGTATTAATTAACTTTTATTTTTATTTAACTTAAAGAATTCGTATTGATGAAACAATAAATATTTATCTCAACTATATCACATACTACGTATAACGTATATACTCATGAACTTTTTTTGAACTAGTCACAAACAATGTAAATTAATAATATATACTTTTATCTCTCTCGCATACTCATATAATTCATGACATATTTATTTATTTTCATTTTTATTTTATTTGTTGTAGTGTGCTTGCATTCTTTATGTAATATATGTTTGATCCCTCAGAGTATTATATCAATTTTAAATCAAATGATAATTTTTGGTAAAAAACCGAAAAAATCGAAACCGAATCGAAACAAACCCAACCAATTAAACCATGGTTCCAAGTTTTGGAGTGTAGAACAGAACCGAACTTTTTACTTTGATTCTATATTTGGTTTTAGGTCAAAACCGAACCGCAAGAACCGAACCCACCCCTAGTCGTGAGGGACAGTTTGCTTTGAGCCGCATTGTGCAATGTGCATGTACCAATTCAATTGGGTCTATTGCGACTTGCGAGAACAAGAATGTCTACAAAAAAACACTCTTACTTTTCATATTCTATTCTTGAATCTTTACTACTTATATGTTTTGTACCATCTCTTCTTTTCCAAAGTTTTTGTACGATTCACTACTTCTAAAAGTTTGTTCATTATTTTCGCATAAAGTTAGCTGAAATGATAAAATGGACAAAAGGAGTACAAAGTAGGCATGCAATTATTTATCAAAAAGTTGCTTTATTACTCGTAGCACACAATAATGTCATATGGTCGACACCCCGCTGGATATTCTTACAACTTTTAATGTTTTAATTGTTTTCTAGCACTTTTACTTTCTATTTTCTCTCTCTTCGGGCTATGATTTAGGATCATTATTAGTTGACCACTGCCACTAAAGTTGTCCCTAGCAGGCTAATATGCCCCTTTTCTATGACTTTTCGGCGATGGCTAATTTAACATGATAAGGAGAATTCCTTCCGTCTCTATTCATGTTTTTCAATTCAATTTTCCTTTGTAGAGCATCTCTTCTTTTATTTATGCGATAATTATATGTGATTAGGGTTGTAAATGAACCGAATCGAGTCGAATAATGAGATTTTGTATTTGTATTTATTTAATTTTTTCGAATACGAATTCATATTCAAATATGAAACGAATATTAATTTCGATTTGTATTTGTATTTATTTAACAATATGAATAATTAACGAATCATATACGAATATCGAATCGATTTGATCATAGGTTAAATATTAGTCAAATATCACTCTAACATAACTTTTCTTATACTCCTTGTTTTTTGTTGTAAATGCATGTTATGACCTAATATGTGTTTTAAAATTTAAATTTAATGGATCAATGCATTTTTAGATGGTGCACAATATAATAAAGTGAATTAATTTTATGATTAATAAATATAAATCTATTTCAAACCTTTTGAAATAAACACTGGCACACACATATTAGAAATTATACTTATAATGTGTGAAATAAGTTGATACGTAGTAATTGTACATATCAAAGTCAAACAACTCTAATTTTATTCTTCAAATTGAATACATAATTATTTGTATTGTATTTGAAAGACATTTGAACGAAAAATTGATTTGTATTCGTATTTATATTCTGATTTATTACAAATGGGCTTGAAATCTGTATGCAAAAGTGTATATATGGGTTACACTTTGAGGGTATTGCTATCTTTTAAAAGTTACTCCGTATTATAGTGTTATTACTATTATTATTAATATTGATATTAATATTACCATTATTATTAATCGAATATATTTGATTAATATTGGAATCGAATACATTGATATTCTTATTTGTATTTGATAACAACTCGAATCAAATTTAATATTCTTATTTGTATTTGTATTTAAATTTTCCGAATTCGAATCGTCTTATACGAATTCGAATCGCGAATCGAGCACAAATTATTTGATTCGTTTACAACCCTATATGTGATAAGTATGTTTCTCTTTAATGATGAGTTTTAATGAAATAGGAAGTAGTTTTTTTAGATTCTAAAAAGCACAAAATCGTGTTCGAAGATGAAACATTGCTTGAACGAGTACATTGTTTTGAATATAAAAGAGCTATTTTTATATTAATATCAAGAAAACATATGAGACAACATTCATTCGGTTATTATAGATCCGATCGTAAGACATAGGAATAACATAGATTCAAAGTGAACCACCTTATACAAAGCAACTTGATTCATTATACACGAAATGAGCAATTTTAAACATAAAATGACCGGATCTGAAATACTTTCTATCAAAAGTACTCCAAATATCCAAACCAAACATACTCGAGTTAAAATAAAAATAAGTACTTTTAGATAAAAATAATATTGGAATGAAGCCTTTCCAGAAAATTCTTCCTACCACAGAGGTGGTTCTCGAGAAGAACTAGCTGCAGCAATGTGTGTGAATACTAATATTTTCTTCTTACTTCGTTCCCGATGATTAAATCTTGTCTAGTTTGTTTTGGTATGAGCTGATGTGAGACTGAAATTAATCCAAATAAAAATATATTCCCTCTGTCTCTTTCTTAACTGTCTTACTTTCTCTTATATGGATTGTTTTCAAAATAAATGTCACATTTTTTGGAAAGAAATATGTGGTTTATAACGTTTCAATTTATTATATTCAAATCTCAATCGCAACTTTTACTTTTTAAAATATTTTATTAGTAATTGTGTCAAACCAAATGAAATTACATAAAATGGGACGGACCAAGGAGTATATACTTAGCTTAGTTGATTGTCCACTACAAAACACGTATAATAATATCGCTCCATAAAATAAAACTCGTGTGAAAATTCAAGAAAGTCAATTCGTAATTAAGTTTTAGGGACTCTGCAAATGAATCTGGGGTATCTGCCTTGCTTTAGAGCAAGGAACAGTGCTCGGCCTTTGAAAGTCGTCCGATCAAAACTTCAAAGGCTGGAGATTTCAAGGTCCGCATATCGAGACATCATTTTCTCTATCGGACTGTCCTCCTGCCGCAAGGCACTCTGCCACACGGCAGAGGATTTCAATCCCTCGCAAATATTGACATTTGTATAACCAGATTACGTCCCGATGGAAATATTGGTACTACTGTGCGTACATGTATCATATGTTACAAGTGAAGTAAACTGCCCAGGACTTCAATGAACTGATTCGACAGCAACAGCCTAGCTGCTAAGAGATATAAAGCAAAAGGGAATAAAGAATTCACTTGGGCATAAAAACAAATATGTTGTGTGTATAAAAACTGAACACACAGATCAGATATATTGAAGGAAGGATTACACCGATTTGTTCAAGACATCTACGGCTATTTAATAGACTAAATGAGGTAGTTAAACAAACCACTACCTGCCACTACTCTACTTTAACAAAATGCTAAAAAAACCCTACGGAACATGCCTAAAGAATAGGTAAACATATAACTGAAATATTATTTGCTAAAGGTGATAATTAATAATGCTAAAAATCAGGAGGATTATTTGCAACAACAAGGTACTATCGTATATTTTAAATGTTGCATTGTAGGAAGCTATAGTGAGCACTGCGGTGGCGGGAGCAATAATAGGGGCGGCTGTTGGTGGGTGGTTAAGTGACAGGTTCGGAAGAAGAACTGCCTTACTATGTGCAGATTTGTTGTTTTTTGTAGGAGCCATGGTCATGGCTTTTGCACCGGGCCCTGCCATATTGATCGTTGGAAGGGTTTTTGTGGGCCTTGGCGTGGGAATGGCATCAATGTCTTCTCCGCTGTACATTTCGGAGGCATCTCCGGCAAAGATTAGAGGAGCACTTGTGAGCACCAATGGTTTCTTCATCACTGGAGGCCAATTCTTGTCCTACCTCATCAACCTTGCTTTTACCAAGGTAATTGTTGTTGTTTCACACCAGATACTTCTAAAACAATTAAACACTATTTTAAAATATGAGTTCCTCTTCTTATCAGGTTAATCTTTTATGATGAAAACTCATATCTTAACAAGAATGCATTGTTAATCAATATATATATATATATATATATATATATATATATATATATATATATATATACATATATATATATATATACATATATATATATATATACATATATATATATATATACATATATATATATATATACATATATATATATATATACATATATATATATATATACATATATATATGAGGAACTTTTTAAGAGCATACAAAGCGTCACATAATCCTGCCATGTCATTATATATAACAATTATTTACTTATTTTTATACCTTTTGTTTTTATTAGATTCTATTTTTGATTGCATATTGATATGGAAACAAAAATCTTTATCAATCCATCTCAATTAATTTGGTAAGCTTCAAATAAGTAAAATAATTTTTTGTTATCAAAGTGAAATTCTAATAACGTTTATTGATATGGAAACTAATTTATACTGTATTAGTTTACTACACTGAATTAAATAGAAACAAATATGCAAATTAGTTTACTTATTAATTTGACACCTATTAATAAATTAGTAAGCTTCAAATAAGTAAATAATTAAAAATGAAATTAAAAATTATAACCAACATAAAGTATATATATTTTCACAAGTAAATATGTTTAGCTTAGCCAAATAAGTTAATTTTTTTGGTTGTTTCTTTATTTTACACCTAAAATTCAAATATGCCTTCATTTTTGAAATAGAATCCTAATCCAAATTAGAAAATCTTTATAGGTTTACGAATTCCTACTTTTATTTTAATAAAATGGTTTTAATTGGATTGATTTCAGTTCCAGATTAAATCAGATCAGATCAAACTTTAATAATTATCACAATAAGTCACATAAAAAAAAGACATCTAATAGACCATATTAATTCATACCAAATCAAAACTGAAATTTTAATTCAATTAAAAATGTTCTTATTAATGAGTAAATCGTAAGATCTAACAATTAAGAAATATAATTTTTTTTATTATTGGGTTCATAACGATTATGTTTACTTGAGATGCTTATGTAGAAGACCAATTTAACATTTTTTTTCATATATTTTTTTCTTTGTTTCCCAAATGGAATATATTTCACATATATTTTTCATGATTCAGAAGATTCCACCTATTTAACCAGCATTCAATCAATTCCAGCAAAATAAGTTAATTCTATTTACTTTAGTATTATCAAACAGACTCTATATTAGACTAAGTTTATTTTTCTTTTAAATCACATTATATGTGATCCGATAGAAATTAAATTTCAAATTAGCTAAATTACATACTGCCCATGCATCGCACGGGCTTGAAAGCTAGTTATTACTCCGTATTATTACAAGGTGCTTGCTAGGGTACCCAACAAAAATAGGAGAGTACCATACCTAGGATGCATTTCATTGGTGCAACTCAAAGTTTTACATTTTATTTGCATTTAAATTATTCAATTGAAAATTTTTTATTGGTCCATACCATCAAGGTACCATACCTTGAAGGTACCATAGAAATGGCCTTATTACAATGGGTTTTAATTGCAGGCCACACCACGTGTTGTGGTCGCAGTTGGGCCGCATTTGGGTAGAACAACTTTAGTGACTTAATATATTTCTTACTTGGTGTGAATGTGACATTAGTTCACATTGCATTTGCCCTAATACGCATCACAACGACCACAATCAGTGGCGGACCCAGAGAAATAGAGTCATGGGGTCCCTAATTAATACTCCCTCCGTCCCACTAGAAGGTTCCCGTGAACGGTTTATGAAACTTGCACTACAAAAAAACACGGGATTGATAGAGTTTTTTGGCAGGGATTTTCTGAAATTGGCAAGGATTTTGGCAGGGATATGCCAAATCCGTGCCAAAAATAGTTTAGTCTGTTCGTATTTTAAGTTATACAAGTGACAGAATAATATAGACGATCTTGATTTGTAAAAAACAAAGAAATAAAAATAAATAAATAAAATCTTTATTTGTAAAAAAATTGTATGAATAATGGGTAAACTATAAATCTTTTTAGAAAAAAAGAAAGTACTACTACGTATAAAATAATAAATGTCATCATGCACCCGTTGCTCTGGGTTGCCTAATTTTATCTTTTGTCCTGTTTTTGTATGGACTAGTTCAATGTAGTCTGATATGGTCTGATCTAGTTTGAGTTGTTCTGTATTTATATGATCTGGTCTTATCTGCTTCGATCTGGTCTGATCTGCTTTAGTCCAAGTAAAACGATAACAATTTTCAATAATGTGGAAGGAATATTATTATTCTTAATTATAAATGAATAAAATATAATTATTTATGGATTATAATATATATATATATAAAATAAAATCTTTATGCAAAAATATAACAAATAAAATTTCAGACCAGAACACCAAATTAAAGTCCAAGTAAAAACATCCTTACATGCCTAATTAATTGAAGAATTAGATAATTCTGTAATTGAAGATGTATGTAGGTCCACCCTTGTTTTGATGTCATGGAATAAGTTTAAAAAACAAAAAATTAGGGGTGGTGAGGGAGTGGAACATGGTACCTCGGAGAGAGAAATTTCTAATGTGATGCATAGTCCGGTTATGCTACTCCAGTCTTTGGTTTTGTTCATTGCTTTTACTATATACGTAGTATATATTTCTTAGTTATGTTAGAATGTAAACTTGATTTTGGGCTAAGTTAATAATTGATGTTTGTTGTAATGGGCAAAGCCCAAAATAATGAGGAGTGTTCTAGAGGAGAAATGTTCTAGAAAGTTTCTAGAGTGTGATACTTCTAGAGACATTCTAGTGAATAATTAATAATAGAGTATTCTAGATAAGGAGAATTCTAGAGAACTCTCCACCATTTATTGAGGATGTAAGTAGTATAAATATGTGTAGTTGTGCTCATTTGTAATCAAGCATCAATCTAAGAAATCTTCAAGCAATAAAATACAAGTTCTCTCTTCTTCCATCCTCTCTTCTAATTAGCTAAAAGCTTTTTCTACTTACACAATTATCTTCATAACGTCCTAAAATACTTAGCCTCCACCTCTAATATTCCAACAAATTGGTATCAGAGCCATGGCTAACGGGATGCAATCCTTTCAATTCCCTCGCCTAACCAAAGACAACTATAGTACTTGGTGCATCCGAATGAAGGCAATATTAGGTTCACAAAAGGTGTGGGATTTGGTGCTGAATGGCTACGTTGAACCGGAGGATGAAAGTACTCTTAGTGCACTCCAAAAGGACGCATTAGAGAAGGCTCGGGAGAAGGATCAAAAGGCAATGACTCTCATTCATCAATGCTTGGATGAAAATCAACTTGTGAAGGTTGCAAATGCAACTACTTCGAAGCAAGTTTGGGAGATTCTTCAAAATACATATCGTGTAGTCGATAAGGTAAAACACGTTCGTCTCCAAACACTTAGAGGTGAGTTTGAGTCTCTTCAAATGAAGGAATCCGAGTCTATTTCTGATTATTTTGATAGAGTTGAGAAGGTAGTAGATGAACTAAGGAGGAATGGAGAAAATTTGGAAGATACAAGAGTGGTAGAAAAACTTCTTCGCTCTTTAACTCCAAATTTTGAGCATGTGGTAGTAGCTATTGAGGAATCACATGATATAGACTCGATGACTATAGACCAACTTAACGGATCACTAGTGGCCCATGAAGAAAAAATGAAAAAGAAGAAAGTGCAATATCCATTGGAGCAAGCACTTTATACACAACTTTCATTCAAAAGAGGTGATGGTCAAAGAGGGCGAGCTAGGGGCCGTGGACGAGGTCGAGGCCGAGGAAGAGGACATGGTGAAAATCACCAAGAACACGAAGAAGAGAAAAAACAACACTTCAAGCCGACAAGAGGTCGTGGAAGAGGCGGATACCAAAGGTATGAGAAATCACAAGTTAGATGCTATAATTGTGATAAATTTGGTCATTTCGCTTCCGATTGCAAGGCAAATTACTGTGAAGTGGAAGAAAAGTTTAAACAAGTCAAGGATGAAGTCGATCTTACCTTATTGATGGCACATGATCTTAAAGAGAAAGAAAGAAAGAGTGTGTGGGTATTAGATACCGGCGCAAGCAACCACATGACCAGTGATAAAACCATGTTCGCGAAAATTAAACAAGCCAATGGAAAAGTCACATTTGGAGACGAGTCAAAGGTGTCGGTGGAAGGAAGAGGTAATATCTTAATCCGTCTAAAAGATGGTAGTCACCAATTTATTTCCGATGTTTATTATGTGCCCAATCTAAAAAATAATATTTTGAGTTTGGGGCAACTTCTAGAAAAAGGTTATGACATCAATCTAAAAGATAATAATCTTTTTCTAAGAAGTGAAGGAAGATTAATAACCAAAGTGCTAATGACGAAAAATAGAATGTTTTTATTGGAGATTCAAAATGATGAAGCAAAATGCTTACATTCATGTTTAAAAGATGATTCGTGGTTATGGCACTTAAGGTTTGGGCACTTGAACTTTGGTGACTTAAATTTATTATCAAGAACCAAAATGGTTGATGGGATGCCAATCATAAATCATCCAAATCAATTGTGTGAGGGGTGTCTTTTAGGAAAACATACAAGAAAAGGTTCTCCAAAAGAATCAAATTTTAGAGCTAAAAGGCCCTTGGAATTGATTCATGCCGATGTTTGTGGACCCATTAAACCAAGTTCGTATGAAAAGAATAATTATTTTCTTCTTTTCATTGATGATTATTCTAGAAAAACTTGGGTCTATTTTCTAAAAGAAAAGTCGGAAGTCTTTGGGTCATTTAAAAAGTTTAAGGCCCTTGTAGAAAAGGAAGTTCGGCATGAAATACAAGCCATGAGATCCGATAGAGGAGGTGAATTTACATCAAATGAATTTAATGAATTTTGTGAAAATAATGTGATTCGCCGTCCTTTAACGGTTCCATATTCACCACAACAAAATGGCGTGGTTGAAAGGAAAAATAGAACTATTCTTGAGATGGCTAGAAGCATGCTAAAAAGCAAGAATATGCTGAAAGAATTTTGGGCCGAAGCGGTTGATTGTGCTGTGTATATTTTAAATCGTTGTCCAACTAAAAGTCTTGACAAGAAGACACCTCAAGAAGCATGGCGGAAGAAGAAACCAAATGTTTCTCACCTTCGAGTTTTTGGAAGTATAGCATATGCTCATGTGCCGGATAAAAAACGTTCAAAGCTTGATGATAAAAGTGAGAAGTTTGTGTTTATTGGATACGATAAACACTTGAAGGGATATAAGCTATATAATCCAGTCACAAAGAAAATCATTGTGAGCCGAGATGTCCGATTTGATGAAGAAGCCTCTTGGGATTGGAGTGTTCAAGAAGATGAGAATTACAACTTCTTCCCGCTCTTTGAAGAAAATGAAGAACAAGAGGAGCATGATGATCAAGCGGCTCAAGAACCAAACACTCCACCTCATTCACCATCCATCCAAGGAAGTCCATCAACCACCGAGGAAGGCTCAAATGAAAGAACTCCCCATTATAGAAGCTTACAAGAGATATATGAGGTAACACAAAATTTGGATGAAATAACTCTTGTTTGTCTTTTTAATGATTGTGAACCAATAGGTGTTCAAGAGGCGCTAGAAGACAAGAAGTGGAAAAATTCTATGGACGAGGAGATGAAGTCAATCATGAAGAATGATACTTGGGAGTTAGCTACGCTACCAAAGGGGCACAAGGCTATTGGCACTAAATGGGTATACAAAGCAAAGAAAAATGCCAAAGGAGAAATTGAAAGATACAAGGCAAGGTTGGTGGCGAAAGGGTACAAGCAAAGGGCCGGTATTGACTATGACGAGGTATTTGCTCCCGTTGTCCGCTTAGAAACTATAAGATTACTTATTTCAATTGCGGCTCAAAATAATTGGAGATTGTACCAAATGGACGTAAAATCGGCTTTCTTAAATGATTATTTGGAAGAAGAAGTCTATTTGGAACAACCCCCAGGTTATATAATTAAAGGGCAAGAAAATAAAGTGTTAAAATTAAAGAAGGCACTTTCCTGCCTGGTTCCGCACCTCTGGAGGTTTTCTATGGATTAAAACAAGCCCCAAGAGCTTGGAATACTAGAATAGACAAGTACTTCCAAGAAAATGGTTTTCTAAGGTGCCCTTATGAATATGCCCTTTATGTATAAACAAATGAAGATGGGGATCTTTTGATTGTGTGCTTATATGTGGATGATTTGATATTCACGGGTAACAATCCAAGTATGTTTGATGCTTTCAAGAAAGAAATGAGTCGTGAATTTGAGATGACGGATATGGGACTTATGTCATACTACCTCGGAATTGAAGTCAATCAAAGTGATAGAGGAATATCTATTTCCCAAGAAGGTTATGCAAGAAAAATTCTTAAGAAATTTAAGATGAATGGGTGCAAGCCGATTGACACACAAGTCGATTATGGGACAAAATTCTCCAAGTTTGATGAAGGAGATAAAGTAGATCCGACTATGTTCAAAAGTTTGGTTGGTAGCTTGTGCTACTTAACATGTACGAGGCCCGATATTCTTTTTGGAGTGGGACTTATTAGCCGCTATATGGAAGCTCCAACATCTATCCATATGAAGGCCGCCAAAAGGATTCTACGCTACCTAAAAGGTACGATTAGCTTTGGATTGACTTACTCATCTTCTAAAGAATATAAGTTGTTTGGTTATAGTGATAGCGATTGGGGCGGAGATATCGATGATCGTAAGAGTACAACCGGGTTTGTACTTTACATGGGGAATATGCCTTTCACATGGTCTTCAAAGAAGCAACCAATTGTGACACTTTCGACTTGTGAAGCTGAATATGTTGCCGCTACGTCATGTGTATGTCACATCATTTGGCTTCGAAGATTGTTGAAGGAAATTCACATGCCGCAAGAAGATGCAACCGAGATTTATGTTGATAACAAGTCGGCCATTGCACTTGCAAAAAATCCCGTCTATCATGACCGAACCAAACATATTGATACTCGCTACCATTTTATTCGTGAATGTGTCGAGAACAAAGAGGTCCAAGTGAAGTATGTGAGGTCACAAGATCAAGTTGCGGATATTCTTACAAAACCTCTCAAGCATGAAGACTTCAAACGATTGAGAAGAATGCTCGGAGTTGGAAATCAAGTTTAAGGGGGGATGTTAGAATGTAAACTTGATTTTGGGCTAAGTTAATAATTGATGTTTGTTGTAATGGGCAAAGTCCAAAATAATAAGGAGTGTTCTAGAGGAGAAATGTTCTAGAAAGTTTCTAGAGTGTGAGACTTCTAGAGACATTCTAGAGAATAATTAATAATAGAGTATTCTAGATAAGGAGAATTCTAGAGAACTCTCCACCATTTATTGAGGATGTAAGTAGTATAAATATGTGTAGTTGTGCTCATTTGTAATCAAGCATCAAGCTAAGAAATCTTCAAGCAATAAAATACAAGTTCTCTCTTCTTTCATCCTCTCTTCTAATTAGCTAAAAGTTTTTTCTACTTACACAATTATCTTCATAACGTCCTAAAATACTTAGCCTACACCTCTAATATTCCAACAAGTTAATGTTATATAAAATATATATAATATATAGGTATTTATTTGGAAGTCCATGGGGTCCCCGGATCCGTGGGATCTTCAGTGGGTCAGCCACTGACCACAATATATAATTACAATCGTAGTGACCGCAATGAGAACCATGACCCCAACCGCAATTTAAAACGATGATTATTAGTATTAGGTAGGCTTGTATGTTGCTTTGTATGGAGTATGTGGATGTATACTCATCATGTTATATATGCAGGCACCAGGAACATGGAGATGGATGCTTGGAGTGGCTTGCCTCCCGGCTGTGATTCAGATTGTACTAATGTTGGCTCTCCCTGAATCGCCTCGCTGGCTTTACCGAAAGGGAAGAGTAGAGGAAGCGGAAGTAATACTGATGAAGATATACTCAGCAGAAGAAGTGGAAGTGGAGATGGAAGCACTGAGAGAATCGGTGGAGAAAGAAAAGGACGATAGCAAGGAAAGGTCAGAGATGATGACAATACTGGCGCAGTCCAAATCAGTGAGAAGAGGGCTAATTGCGGGCGTGGGGCTGATGGTGTTCCAGCAATTCGTGGGCATAAACACGGTGATGTATTACAGCCCGACCATTTTCCAGCTGGCCGGCTACGCGTCAAACCAAACCGCTCTTCTGCTCTCCCTCGTCACTGCGGGGCTAAACGCATTCGGCTCCGTCATCAGCATCTTCTTCATTGACAGGACGGGAAGAAGGAAGCTTTTGCTGATCAGCCTACTGGGCGTTATGGTCTCGCTCGCTTTTCTCTCGTTCGTGTTTCAGGAGGCCACCTCCCATTCTCCCGCCATTAGTGACATCGACACCGCCCGCTTCAACAATGGATCCTCCACTTGCCTTGCTTATCACGATCCCGCCCTCTCCCACCACCCTTGGGATTGCACCAAATGCTTGAAAGCTTCTTGTGCTTTCTGCGCTTCACCTCATGACAAGGTATATATATATCCACCCAAATTTTGTTTAGAAAGTCAATCTAATTATTAATATGGATAAATATATATCCATTTCTCTATAGATAGAAAAATGTGAACTTTGGAGTATATATTCAGCGTTTAAATTTGTGGGTGCACGTGCAGCTACTGCCGGGTGCATGTTTGGTCTCGAGTGACACGGTGAAAGGCAATTGTCACGGGGAACACAGATTGTGGTACACTCGGGGATGCCCGAGCAGATTCGGGTGGCTGGCGCTGATCGGCCTAGCGCTCTATATCATCTTCTTCTCCCCTGGGATGGGGAGTGTGCCCTGGATCGTCAACTCGGAGATATACCCTCTCCGGCTGAGAGGCGTGTGCGGGGGGATTGCCGCCACCGCCTGCTGGGTTTCTAATCTCATCGTGGCGCAATCCTTCCTCTCGCTCACCCGCGCCATCGGAACGTCGTGGACATTCCTCGCCTTCGGGGTCATTTCCGTGCTCGGCTTTATTTTCGTTCTCATTTGCGTTCCCGAAACCAAGGGACTTCCCATTGAAGAGATCGAGAGGATGCTGGAAGGGAGAGGTCTCCACGTCAAGTCCTGGACCAATAAAAATGATGAAACCCATGTGTGAACATGCATATATCCGTGGCTGGCTAGCTACTACGCATTAAGCTAAGTACGTAGCTAGTCTTAATTAGTGCTTTTATTGGCCGGTTGTTGTAAATATACTAGTCTCGTTAATTAACAACTTTGTTGGGTGTTTACAAGCTAGTGAACGAAATGCATGTGGATGGATATATATGGCGAGACATATAACAACAAAATACCTTAGCTTTCATGAATAAAAAACCATCACATTTTCACTTGTTCACGTGTATACTTCCTCCTTTTCTTTTTAGTTGCAACAGTCAACATTTCACATTTGCCAACGCACAATTTTGACCGTCATTAAAATATTTAATTTTGTATTAGTAAAAATAAAATAAAAATCAGATTATAAAACTTAGTAATGAGACAAATTTAACAATATTTTTCAGGAAAAAATAATTCATATACATTAATAAATAAAACGTAGTCAAAGTAAAGTATATGAATAGTGTATATATTCAAATGTTGTAATTAATGCGATACGGAGGATAGCACGTTATAATAATATGGATCAGGTGATTGTGTGCAAAGTGCTCACGTACCCAAATCAATGTGATGGTATATTCTCGGGAAAGGTGTAAATTCCGTTTGAACTCGTTTTTATTTCGTTTAGAAAAATAAATTCATCTTTCAAAACTCTTAAAGAAAAAATACGGAATATTTAAGTAATAAATTTTGAAAGATGCATGGGTGTTGCACGTGTCAGACCGAACCAGTTTTTGAACGGGAAATGGCCAGGAATAGGAGTGAAACATCGTCTATTTACTCAAATAGGAGCAATTGTTTTTAATTCTTAAATATGAGTATTATTAGGTGTTCTGACCCATTTACCCCTCTTTAGTTCTACGGACCCGACAAAGGAAGCTAATAATATACAGAGTATCTTGTTCATACGGACTACGAAGTATAATAAAGTGGTTTCTAGGGTTTTAATAATTTAGAATAAACGTTGGACCCAGTCAAAAGGTCCAAATATCAACATTTCTTCTTTCTCAACACAATCTCTCTTCCACAACTTCCTACTAGATGCAGAGCTACCATCTCTATCACTTCCAAAGAAGAGTAGTGCTGCAAAATTGAGTGCACACCAATGCCGATGGATAGCGGTGCAGAAACGACTGCACGGCAAGGGGACGATACTGTAGCGGCGGGTCGGCGGATGAATACCCTATTGCATGGGAACTCAGGGGCGACAGTATGGCTACGTACATGGTGGCGGACAGAGGCCCTTCTTCTTTGATTTTTATTTTGTTTTCATTTCAATTTTTTTTTTAATTTTCATATTCCTCTTTTTTCTTATACATTCACTTTTGCAAGAAGTGCTAGTATTCTATGTTCCAACATTATTTTTGAACGCCATTTTTATGGCATTATGTTCCTAAAGATGGCACTTTACAGTCCGTACTATTGTGAAAAATAATATTTATAATAATGCCATTTTGACAAATAATGTCATTTTCATGGTACTAACTTTTATCAAGATGGAAATTTTACATTTGATTTTACGAGAATGCTATAATTTAAATGAAATGCCATGATTTTGTGAGAATGCCATTTTATCAATATAATTAGTCATATTTATGAATCTCAATGTGCCATAATATTTTGTACTAAAGTTAGCATGCACTAATTATTATTATTTGTTTAGATGACAATATTAAAGTGTAGTGGCGAGCACTTTGTCACGGTGCGTCAAAATAATTTTCAATACTAACACTTATACGTAGTATAGCGTAGTAGAGTTCGTATCCACAGGGAAAGGAATAATTCTCTTTTTATGAAACTTAGTAAATAAAAGGGGGGACTTGGCATTGCTACTTTCCACTTGTTGATATATTTTAGTCGATCATTGTTATATCTATAACTTATTCCCTCTCGAATACTCAATCGGGGAGTATATCCACTTCATCGAAGGTAGTTATTAACAACAACCGTTCATTAATAACCCTTACTATTAATCAAATATAGAACAACGCCTTATACCGATTTAATAGTAGCATTTAATCTTTCTAACTCCTTGATGAAATCAATTGAGATTGATAACCTCAACACAACGGTTTTGGTTTAACCAACAAAATTAATCCCTCTTAAGTTTATTAACCACGACCGTGCATTAATAAACCGAAGTTACTTACTTGTGAAACCATCAACGATTAACCATCGGTTCGTTGATCGTTTCTAGTAATAATTAATATATGAAACAAAACTAGTTGATCCTTTAAGTAATGTTCAAAATATTAATATGAAATATGAATAGGAATTAATTAATATTCAAGGAAGAATATTATTAAAGAAGATGAATCCTACTATAATTAATATCAAGATGTTAACTAATTGTCATCTTAGCAACACTCCCCAACATTAATATAGAGGAAGAAAATACCATTCTAACTAATGTTGAGATATTAACTAATTGTCATCTTAGCAACACTCCCCAACATTAATATAGAAATGGTATTAAGGAAAGAACTATTAATTAATATTCAAGGAAAGAAGTTAAGAAAATAACTCACGACTTTAATAATCAACAAGCTTCAAGAGCAACACCAAGAAATGGAAGTTTAGCTCCTCATTTGGAGACTAAACATAGCTAGAAAAATATAAAGAAATGCTATTCTAAACTGAGCTAAAGAGTATAGAAGAAGGGATGATTTTTAGAGAAGACAAAGTGTGCTATTTATAGGTGTTTTTCAACACCTTTGGCCGAGTACCCGACCGGGTCAAGTACTTACCCGACCGGGTCCGGTCAAAATCAGATAATCCGCCACGTTCTGGTGATCTTCGCACGTCGTTTTGTCCCGGGTCACATCTGACCCGACCGGGTCAAGTAGGGGACCCGACCGGTCCAGTGATTTTCTTGGCAATTTCGTCTGTTAAATCATACCCGACCGGGTGGGGGTTTCTACCCGGTCGGGTTTTACTCCTGGGCAGTCAAATTTCTTGTTTTCTTCTCTTCAAAGTCTTCCTTTCCAACACCACAAATCCTAACTATACTTTACAACTTATAAATAAAGACTAAAATACAATTACAACTGAAATCACATAAATGTTTACAAACTAAATAAAACGTCAAACAATCAATATAAATCAAACATAAAAACATGTAACTATGCACTACTAATTAGTGTGCATCAAACACCCCCAAACTTAAACCTTTACTCGTCTCGAGTAAATCAAATTCGGTCCAAGAAGTCCTTAAAATGACAAGAATATCAACACACACATCCACGAGTGTTCTTAGAAACACATAAAGTATATCCCCAAAAATATAACAGTAAAGAGGGTCTTTAACTCCATATTTCTTTATCAACCTCAACCTTTTTTTCCGTTACCCTTAAGATCCTGCAGAAATAAAAGAAAATATTTTCTCTCGTTCTCTCATTTTGCCTAGGTGCCCTTTCGGGTTTTTATCCCAGCTTCCCACATTTTTCTGTTTTAATCCTCACAACTCACTCTTATTTTTGCTCTATTTTTGCTTAAGTTGCCCTTTCGGGTTTTCAACTTAACAAGCTTTTATCATTTTTTTTACAAGAATAAAGAGTATGAATGTGATTATTCCATAAAACTCTTCCCCCAAGCTAATCAAAGCAACGTCCCTTGTGCTTGTGTCTGAGATGAATGTGTTTTTTTTGTTACTTTTTGGGAGGTTTTGTTGGTGATTCGTGGGTGTGGAGATGAAAAGGGTGAAGAGGAGATGAATGAAATGGGTTTAATTGGTGGATGGATGTAGGAGATATGAAGCTTTTGACTTTTGGAAATGGAGGAAATTTGGGGTGTGGTTCGAATGGGAAGATAAAGGGGGGTGATTCATTTTTTTTTGAGAAATGGCCTGGTTTCCAAAAAATCGAGATAAAAAGGACTTGGCCTACATGTGTTTAATTCAAAGATAAAAACGACTTGGCATTGCTACTTTCCACTTGTTGATATATTTTAATCGATCATTGTTATATCTATAACTTATTCCCTCTCGAATACTCAATCGGGGAGTATATCCACTTCATCGAGGGTAGTTATTAACAACAACCGTTCATTTTTTTTTTATCCCAGAAGGCAAACCACCAAAATCAGTGGGGTAAATGCCGGGAGTCATTTACCAGATTTTATTAATAGCAGGAGGATACAGAAAGAGAAAGGGGGGCTACGCCAAAAACCTTTCCTAGGAAGGCATTCCTTCCCGAAAACAAAAAACAAGAGGACAAGCTAAAAACAAACTGATGGGGGGCTAGACCTGACCCAATAGAGACAAAAATCATAATAATCTCAAAGAAGGTATGTCAAAAAAATCCATCCAGTAGGCCCGTTTTGCTAAGATCGGAAGCTGATTGGGCCTAGTGAAATTAATAAAAGTATCCGCATGAACCTGGGCTAGAAAGTGGGCGGCCCAATTTCCTTCTCGCTTCGTGTGGACAAAACCAGCCCCTTGCCTAATTGCTATCTGTGAGATTTCCTGAATGGCGACCTTCCATTTCCTCGACTCCTTGGACTGGATTTGTTCGATCGCTATGGAAGAATCCGTCTCAACAATGAAACCGTGGCTGCCTGTCCTTACCATCCATCGCATCGCCTCCAGTATAGCCAATATCTCTGCCTCAATAGCTGATGTAGCTTGTAGCGGAAAAGAGCATGCATCAATCATCTTCCCGTCTGAGTCTCGCAGAATCGCGCCTCCAGTCGACAAATCAGATAAGAAACTCGCGTCAACATTAAGCTTATTCATCTTTTTTGGTTTCTTCCATCCGATAGCCTGTATTTTGAACCCTTTAATCTTGAAATTTGGGGGTATGAGCTTTTCTTCAAATAGAATAGAATCAATGGGGTAATTTTTTAGACGAGAGAGACTAAGAACCCAGTTCTGAATATACATCTTAATTTGGCAGATTATTTGTTCAGATGTAGGGATACCTCCACCCGATCCCTAAATTTTGTGAGTATAAACCTTCCAAATCTGCCAAAGAATAATTCCAGGAATGTGGTGCCTGAGTATTTCTAGCAGTGTCTTGCCACCATCCTTAGACCACCATAATCTAAATTGACTGAAATCCTTTCCAAAAGGTTGATAAATCCCCAAAATCGCTTTAAAATACTGCCAGACCATTGTGACCACAGAGCATTCAAAGAATAAGTGCTTCATAGTGTCTTGATTCCTCTTACAAAGGGGGCAAATGGAGGGATTAAGGATCCTTTGAAACCTGATTAGGTTGTCAGTGGTGGGAAGTA